CTGATGGCACCCCGCACATGGCTATTGGCTATTCAGCTGTTCCTGCCACTTGGCCTGGCCCCTGTGTGTGCCCCTCCAAAGAGAGCAGGACCCCTGCATGCTGCCCCCACCAGTGATTCTGTAGAGAGGTGAAGGGGAGCCTCTCCCAGCATCCAGCTCCCTTTGCTCTGCTTCCCCCAACTGGGTGGTGACTGAGAATCAGAGGCAGAGGATTTAGAGAGCATCTCTTCCTCCTCCACATCTGGCAGATGAAGAAACTATCTATCCAGAGATGTGAAGGGACATGTTCTAGGTCACACAGCAGGCCAGTGTCCAGGCAGTTTCCAACCTGAATTCCCTGGGCCACTTGTGCTGCCCCAGGCACAGATCACCTGCTTCCTCCACCTCCCTTGCCCCCAAGCTTGAACTTGCAGCAAGATCCTAAGGTGAGATGCTGAGGGAATTGTTTTACAGATTTGTGGATCGGATCTCAGAATGGAAAGGGCCCTGACTCATCAGCCAAGAAGAAATCCAATTTGGCTTTTCTGGCTGTAGTTATTGGTCATGTATCATTGAAATCTTATTTTCTATGAACCCAGCGGTGGAGGGGCTGTGGTGCTGGACTGCCTGCTGGGCCCAGAGCTGCTTCTGCACTTGGCAGCTGTGGTCTCCAGCCTCACACACCCAGGACTTGGGAAGGAGGGTAGGAGCCATGCAGTGGGAGGAGACAGTCTGGATGGGTTGGCCAAGGCCTGCAGTGAGGGTTTCCAGGAACCTCCTGACCCTTCAGGCCAGGGCATCTGGGAGTCTGGTCAGATTTCACAGGTTCTGTGTAAGTGTTGCTGTTTTTATTCAGCTTTCATTGTCTTTTCCCCAGTGATGCCAAGGCTGCTCTGTGGGCTTCAGGATGCAGAGCTGATGGGTTTTGATGGTGAGACCTGAGTTGTGCAGGCAGGAGCAGCAGGTGGGGAAAACGGGCCAGAGAGGCTCAGTCAGTGGAGTTTGTTTTGGCAGCAGGGCACTGTGGCTAAAAGGGTTGGCTGTGATGTTACCTCCAGAGGTTCCAGTCCAGCCCAGCTCTGCAAGCAGCCTTGTAGGGTGGGGGTTGGATCAGACATAATAGAAATAAATAAATAAAGCACCTCCCATGTGCCACACACAGAGTAGTGCTCAGTAAATGGTAAACTCCCCACCCAGTCCCCTTGTAAGGGTCCTGGCAGATAGTAAGCCCTTGGACTTCTATTTCCTTCTACTGTCTGGCTCTACCAAGAAGAGCCATTTGGCTGATCTGGGTGTGCTGTGTATCCCCTGTCTGGCTGGCCCAAATGCCATCATTTCTTCCCTCCCCATGGCTGCAGGAAAAGACACTCAGGAATGAGCCTTGGCTAGCGATCCAGCAGCCTGAGTCCATTCCCTAACCCCCAGGGGCACATGTGAGCTAGGGCGGGTGGGGGCAGGGAGGCCAAAGGCTGGATCAGTTGCTGGAGGGAGCCACTGGGAACAGGGGAGGATGAGCAGGGCAGCAACAGCTTTCCAAGAATGCTCCTGGACCATCTGTATCAGAATCACCTGGGGAGGTGTTTCAATACAGATTCCAGGTTGGGCACATTAGCTGACACCTGTATTCCCAACACTTTGTAAGGTCGGGGCAGAAAGGTTGCTTGCACTTGAGCTCAACCTAGGAAACCTAGCAAAACGCTGTTTCTACAAAAAAGATTTTATAAAAGCCAGGTGTGATGGCATGCACCCGTAGTCTCAGTTACTCGGGAGGCTGAGGTGGGAGGACCACTAGAGCCCCGGAGGTTGAGGCTGCATTGAGCCGTGATAGTCACTGGAGTCCAGCCTGGGAAACAGAGTGAGACCTCCTCTCAAAACAGACCAAAGGAAACAAAGCCCAGGTTCCTGGGCCCCACCTCCTCAGAATCTGACCAGGTATCACCGAGAATCTGCACTTTAACAAGTAAGCCTAGTCACTCTGATTCACATTGAAGTCCGAGGATCTTTGCAGCAGAGAATAAAGGAGTCTGCTCCAGCTGACTGTGGACCTGCCTACAGCAGGGGCCAGACCCTATGATGAACTAATAAGTTCATAATAATCATCCCAACTGCTGTGGCTCAGCAGGGGGCAGTGTCCCCATCCCCATGATATATTTCCCTCTTGGTGTTAGGGGGTCTAGATCTGTCCCACTGAGCCCAGTAGAGCGGGGACACAGAACAGGGAAAGTCATAGTGGCTGTTGCACCCGTCAACGTTGGATCCCTCTGGTGTTGGCTGGGACGTTTCTTCGGGTAATATATGGACCCGGGGAAAGTTTGTTTGCCTGATAAATATTGAGCCATTGGGTATACGAGTCAGCGCCCACAGCTTCCTCACCAGCTGTCAGCCCGCGGAGGCCAGCCATCCTTCCTCGACTCCATCTGTGCAGCCTGACCTCTGAGAAACACGGGGCTTGGACAGGCTCGCCACAGTGTCCCACCTGAGTCCCCTCCCCACCCAACCTGGGCTCCTAATAATAAGCCCAGGTTTTCTTTGCAGAGAATGGTCATCTGTGCCCCTCTGAACTTCCTGCTCATAAACTGAGCCAACAAAGATGTGTTTCTTAGGGGGATGCCGGGGTGATGGGGAGTGGGGGTATGTGCCTGCTTCAGCCGCAGCTGCAAAGCCAGGTTTCCCTGGGGCTGGGGTAGGGGACATGGGGTGATAGATTTTGGGTCTTCTTTCTGGGGAAAGAGCTCAGACAAGTGTGGAAAGTCACCCAGCCACACCCCTTTCTCTATGGATCTGGAAGGCATTCCTGGGCTCTGTTGCCATTTTTATTTGAGATTCTAGGTAGGACTTGGCACTTCTTCAGATAACTCTGGGAGGGCCCTAGGATCCAGCTACCAGGATGGGGCTCCCTGCTTCGCCCTTACTTTCTCTCTGGTATGCTCCGTGGCCCCATTGTATTAGGCTTCTCCAGAGAAAAAGAACCAATAGGAGATTTATGTATGTCACAGAGAGAGATTTATTAGAAGGAACTGGCTTATGTGATGATGGAGGCTGAGAAGCCCCAAGATCTGCAGGCAGCAAGCTGGAGACCCCGGAGAGCTGACAGCATAGCTGCTGTTGGAGACTGAAGGGCTGAGCACCAGGAGGGACGATGCTGTAAGTTCTCATCTGAAGTTAGCAGGCTGAAGCCCCAAGAACAACAAGTATTTCAGATTTAGTCCAAAGGCCAGAAAAGACTAATGTCGGCTGGGCACGGTGGCTCCCACCTATAATCCCAGCACTTTGGGAGGCCAAGGTGGGTGGTTCATGAGGTCAGCAGTTTGACACCAGTCTGGCCAATATGGTGAAATCCCATCTCTACTAAAAATACAAAAAATTAGTTGAGTGTGGTGGCGTGATCCTGTAGTTCCAGCTGCTTGGGAGGCTGAGGTAGGAGAATTGCTAGAACCTGGGAGGTGGAGTTGCAGTGAGCCAAGATCACAGCACTGAACTCCAGCCTGGGGAACAAAGCAAGACTTCATCTTAAAAAAAAAAAAGAGAGAGAGAGAAAGAAAAAGGAAAGAAAAGATCAATGTCAAAGCTCTAGCAGTCAGCAAAAAGAATTCCCTCCTACTCAGCCTTTTTGTTCTATTCAGATCTTCAACTGATTGGCTGAGGCCCACCCTCATTAGTGAGCACCATCTGCTTTACTCTGTGGACTGATGTAAATCTTATCCGGAGGCTGGGCTTGGCGGCTCACTCCTGTAATCTCAGCACATTGGGAGGCTGAGGCAGGCAGATCATTTGAGGTAGGAGTTCAAGACCAGCCTGGCTAACATGGTGAAACCCCATCTCTATTAAAAATACAAACATTAGCCAGGCATAGTGACATACACCTGTAATCCCTGCTACTCAGGAGGCTGAAACAGGAGAATCACTTGAACCTGGGAGGCAGAGGTTGCAGTGAGCTGAGATTGTGCCACCGCACTCCAGCCTTGGCAACAGAGCAAGACTCCATCTCAAAAAAAACCCCAAACTTATCTGGAAACTCTCTCTCTTTCTAATAAATCGCTTTTCTGAAAAAAAAAAAAGTCACAAAATCAACTGGTCCTATCATACCTTTCTTCTGCCTTCGTTTTGCTGGTACAAAGAAAACATCTTTAAAGCCCAACAATAAATTAGAAAAAAACTGAACAGTAAAAAATAAATAAATAAAAAGTGAAAAACAGTAAAAGGCACTAAAAAAGGAGGCAAAATGAGGAAATGAAGAGAATATAAAATGATCCAGAGAGGTATCATATACATGACCAAAAACCAAGAGATAGAAGAAAATATATTCGTCATGATGGCTATCGGTGGTCTCGGGGTGATATTAGCCATCCCAATTAACATATTTTCTTCAATGATATTAAATAAATATCAGTGCCCTTTATAGCCTGAATTTTTTTTTTTTTTTTTTTTTTTTTGAGATGGAGTCTCTCCGTCACCAGGCTGGAGCGCAGTGGCGTGACCTTGTCTCACTACAACCTCCGCCTCCTGGGTTCAAGTGATTCTCCTGCCTCAGCCTTCCGAGTAGCTGGGACCACAGGCACATACTACCATGCCCTGCGAATTTTTATATTTTCAGTAGAGACAGGGTGTAGCCTTACTTTTATAATAGAACAGCCTTTAACAGGACATGGATCACAAAAGGAAGGGAACATATATTGAGTGCTGGCTATATGCAAGGCATTGTTTCAGACACCAAAGCTGTCTTCTCATTTGATCTCTGCAATCGCTGTGTGAAACAGGCACTATTCCTGACTTAAGATTTTGACACTGAGGTTCAGAGCAATCCATAAAACAAATGACAACGTGGGTAGCCCCAGTCATTGTCCCTGTTTTTTATCCCCTGTTCAGTATCATAAGCATCTACACTTAACGAAGAAGAAAAGGCATAAAAAGAATACAATAGTAAAAGAAATAAAAATTTCAACAAAGAATAAAAGGAAAAATGGCCATTCTCTTACTTCTCTGAATGGGCATGGAACTTCACCAGACTGCTAGAGAGCCGTCTCTGCTGTAAGTCCTCACTGAGCCAACTCTGTTCATCTGCTAGTCCTTCTAGCATCAGCAGCAACTGAGAAAGGAAGAGAGAAGAAGCAATACACAAATGACACAGTGAGACATGAAGCCACAGTTAACCCTGAGAAGAAAATGCATTAGCACGTACTATGACTTAAAAAGCCCACTATCTTAGTACTTAAGCTTTTGATAGTATTGTCTAGTTTTACCGGGAAGCAAGAAAACGCGTTAGCATATACTATGACTTAAAAAGTCCGCTATCTTAGTACTTAACTCTTGATAGTGTTGTATAGCTTTCAAATCAATGTCATATTCATTATTTTTTTAATCTTTAAAACCCTGTAAGGTGGAATTCAAACATGGGAGCAAAAAGAAGAAAAAGGAGAGAAAGCTAGAAGCACAGGAAAGCAGCTAAGAGAAAGGAGTAAGAGGGAAACGGGACAGGCTAGAGGGAAACATACATAATAGGAGTTACCAGTATTCTTCATTCATTCAGTCAATACTTATTGAACACCTTCTATGGGAAAGACTCCGTTCCAGGTTCTAAGGGAAAGCCTACTATCTCATGGAGGAAAAAGCATTCATTAATCATAGATGTGTCACTGTGAGTGTAATACTGCTATAAAGATAACGAGCTATGATCATGTATAACCAACAGAGAGTTGTTGAAGATAGAGTTGAAAGCCAGAATGGAGTGGGGTGAGTAGTTAGTAAGAGAGATGCTAATGGAGACAGGGAGTACAGGCAAGTCTTTCAGAAAAGAAAGGTTAAATGGGGCTGTAGCTACAGAAAAAGTTGGGGCAAAGGCAGGGGTTTCTTTCTTTTTTTTTTTTTTTTTTAACTGGGAGAGATTTGCACATGGCTAAATGCAGACAGAGGAGAAAGATTCAGTTGAGAGGGAGGTGACTTACACATGAGTGTGAGGGATAACTATTGGTATGTGTCCAAAAGAACTGCTGCTCTTTACAGAACCACACGTCAGAAAGAGGCATCTATAGCTGCTAACGACCAAAGTAGGAAACTTTACAGCACAGTTTCTCGATGAAATACCATTTATGCAAAACAAGTACCAAAGTTTATTTCACAGTAGAAAAACAAGTTTGTGTCGGGTGTAGTGGTATGCACCTGCAGCTCCAGCTACTCAGGAGGCTGAGGGAGGAAGATGCCCTGAGCCCCAGAGTTTGAGGTTGCAGTGAGCCATGATTGTGCCACTGCACTCCAGCTTGGGTGACACAGTGAGACACACACACACACTCTCTCTCTCCCCCTGAGAGAGAGAGAGAGAGAGAGAGTCAGTCTATATTCCAATGACTTACCTGTTGTCTTTGGTTTCCTGAAATTTCTTGATCCTGGGATTCTACTGAAGCAACTTTTTCCCAAAGAAGTAATACTTCCTGGGTCAGGCGTTCCACAGCTGGTATGTCTTCAGGATAACCAGTTGTATTTGCAGGTCCTAGAAGTCAAAACGTAAGTGTAAACATGAAAAGAATCATAAAAGTTGTAATCAGTTGAGGACCACAGGAACAAATGTTCTTGAAACAGTCTGCCTATACTTTCAAGTGGGATATTGATAAGCACCGGGCAAGGGATTCAATGTGTGCAAATACTGTCCGAAGATGCCCTACAGGTAATCTGAGATGTGAACACTTCCAATGGTCTGTAAAAAGTTTGGAAGGACCTTTATGAGGTCTTCTTTAATCTCTTTTCCTGGTCAGAGGCTCCATATCAGCAGACTGCACCTGCTGCTCTTCTTGTCGCACCTGCGGCTCTTCCTCCCCCACCTGTGGCTCTTCCTCCCGCACCTGCGGCTCTTCCTCCCCCACCTTCGGCTCTTCCTCCCGCACCTTCGGCTCTTCCTCCCCCACCTTCGGCTCTTCCTCCCGCACCTGCGGCTCTTCCTCTCCCACCTGCAGCTCTTCTTCTTGCACAGCCATCATGGACTGTAGAACAGAAACTTCCAACTGTGAATAGAGGAAACAATATCTACCATGTTTACATTTGAACAAGGAGGCAAAAGCTTTTGCATATCATATCACTATCAGCCAGTAATGCAAGAGAAAATGAGATGATAATAGGGTTCTACAGGATCAAATAAAAAATCCATGCAGTATGGTAACAAAGGATGTTTTATGGGAAGATGTAATAGTTGTTTTTACTAATGTCTTCAGCCTTAACTGGTGCCATAAAACATATCAAATTTGTTTAACAAGCTTATTATGATACTGAAAATGAATGGTGACCATTAGCAGAAGCAAGAAGAGATGAAGTTTTTATGTAAGTACTTCAGCTAATAGATGAAAAAATGATAGCATTAGGATATCTCCATTTTTCAACCCTTAATGAATTAATGGATCAGGCATCAAACCCCAAAAGCTGCTAACATCACAAGAGATCACCAAACAGGACATGCCTCCAGATGGAAGAACATGCCACCACCTGTGCGGAATCCTGCCAATAGCTAGCACTACATGCCCTCAACTTTCAGTGTTCTCGACAGAAAATGACAAATACTTGATTAAGACAAAGTTCATTAAAACTCATCATAGGCTGGGCGCCATGGCTCACGCCCGTAATCCCAGCACTTTGGGAAGGCCAGGCAGTGGATCATGAGGTGAGGAGTTCAAGACCAGCCTGAACCAAATGGTGAAACCTCGTCTCTACTAAAAATACAAAGATTAGCCAGGCATGGTGGTGAATGTCAGTAATCCCAGCTACTCAGGAGGCTGAGGCAGGAGAGTCGCTTGAACCTGGGAGGTGGAGGTTGCAGTGAGTGGAGATCATGCCATTGCACTCCAGCCTGGGTGACAGAGCAAGTCTCCATCTCAAAAAAAAAAAAAAAAGTCATGATAATGTCCATACCTGCTAACATTTACTATGCCACGGGCTCTCTAACAAATGCTTTGTATATAGTTAATTCTTTTAACAAACCCAGTGCTCTGGTTCCTGCCTGCTTTTCCCACTTTAGTATCTGCCATTTTACTCCTCACTCATGACTCTGTAGGTACACTCGACTGTTTCTGTTCTAGGAACACCAGACTTTCTCTTAACTCTAGGCCTTTACAACTACTACCCCCTTTGCCTGAAACATCTTTCCCAGCGCTGTCTTTCTCTGATCCTCAGGTCCCAGCTTACGTGTCATCTGCTTAGAGAAGCCTTCTTTGGCCACCCTATTTAAGATGGTCTCCATCCATGTTACTTTCTATCATTTCCCTCATATCACTTATTATCATCTATAACTATATCGATCTGTTTATTGTCTGTATCTCCCCAGTGGAAATTAACTACATAGAGCCAGAGACTTTGCTGATTTCATTCATTACCTCATCCCCAGCACTAGCCCAAGTTGAGAGAAGGTTCCCATATAGCTAATGAATGGAGGAGTGAATTCTCACAACAATCCTATGAGATAACTCCTCTTTGATTTATACATAAAGTGACTTCTACTCTTCAATTTACAGACAAGGTGACTGAGTCTGAGAGAAATTGAGGAACTTGTTCAAAAATCACAGGGCTAGCTAGTAAGTGGTAAATCTAGAATGTGGACTTGGGGAAGCGGACTCAGAGACACCAGGCTATCATGTCTTCCCAGTAGATGCTGCATATCCATATAGCCTTTATGGTAAGGGAAAGTTATTTTAAATAAGCCATTTAAGGCTAGTTAGCAATAGCTAAATATCACCCCCTCAAAATACTCATTCATAGGCATTAGAATTTCATGATCCTGAAAACAGGACAGAACCAAAAAGTAACATTACTCTGGATTTGGTATGTGAGAAAAACAGGAAGAGCATGTGGAAACTAAAATATCTGACATGAATAATCAGATAACGGCTAAGGTAGAACCACAGAAAGGAAAGCAGACTAGGGGATTTTAAAAACTGGTATTTCTTCAATGCCATACATTCTCATAATCCTAAAAACTAATTGAGTCAAAATCATGAGTCTGTTTGTAAGCAGAAATATGGTAATAAAAGCAAAAGATGAAACATGTTAATTCCATCACAAATACAAACACAGGTTCCATATTATAGATCTAGCTGTGACAAAAGGTAGGAAAAAAATCTAAAGGGCTATTTAGACTAGCTAGCTAAAGTTAATTCAGGAAGCCACGACACTGACTGATCTTCTAAAAGAGATGTCAGAGTAACAAACAAGCTGTCAGTTTTAGTCTCTAACTCTGCACTGTGGTCCTATTTCCTCAACATCACCGTCGAATATACAACTAGCTGTGTGTATATTTAGGAAACACATATTTCCTGTCTATATTTAATTCTTTTAACAAACCTAGTGATCTGGTTCCTGCCTGCTTTTCCAACTTGAATATCAGCCATTTTACTCCTCACTCGTGACTCTGTAGGTACACCAGACTTTTTCTGTTCTAGGAACAGAAAAAGAAAATATATATAGAAAAGATGGGGGGTGTGAATCTCTAAGGCTGAAAGGCATCTTGTAAAAGAACTGATGAAAAGTCCATGCTCGAGAGAGTTAAAGCATAAGATAGGAAAAATGAATCTTAGGAATTATGTGAAGTCACAAAAGACAGGAGTTTGAATCAAAGCTTTGGCATTTATTAGTTACATGACTATTCTCCACTCTCATTCTGTAAGAGAAATCAGTGTTTCAGCTTCTTCATCTATAATAATGGGGCTGACACCATTTACTTCATGTAGAGTTGTAAGCATTAGTGCTAATTTAAATACCTAGCACAGTACATTGCATATGAATACTCAATAAACATTGACTATACTCAAGTTTCTCTTGTTTCATGTTTCTAAAACTAATTTCATGGGTCTAATATCATAACTCTAAGCAGCAATCACACAATACTTCCTATTCACACTAGTGCTTTACTATTATTATTATTTATTTTTTTTTGGAGGCTGGGTTTTACTCGTTTTCTAGGCTGGAGTCTGATGGCACGATCTCAGCTCACTGCAACCTCTACCTCCCAGGTTCAAGCGATCCTCCTGCCTCAGCCTTCTGAGCAGTTGGGATTACAGACACCCGCCACCATACCCGGCTAATTTTTATATTTTTAGTAGAGATGGGATTTCGCCATATTGGCCAGTCTTGTCTCCAACTCCTGACCTCAAGTGATCTGCCCACCTCAGCCTCCCAGTGTCAGGATTACGGGTGTGAGCCACCACACCTGGCCTTTACAGTTGTTTTAGTCCAATTAGCAATGGGGAGGGAGAGTTGTGTTTTTCCAGCACTTAGTAAGTTTTAATGGTCCCAGTATAAAAACAGGAGCATCTTGTTAAGATAACGTATATAAAAAATAACATATTTTTCCCCAAAAAGAAAAAAGTCACATGTGGCATTTGGACTCAGATATTATACGTGGAGAACTGTATGCTTTTAAATATAAACTATTTTGAAAGAAAAAATAATAGTGATTTAAAAATTAAGACGACTAGAAAGCTCACCTGACTTTCTCTTTCTTTTTTAGCCATGCGTTCAAGCTCCTCTTTGGCATTACTCAGTTCTTTTCCAGCCCTGCCACTGTGTTCAAGTCTCCTAAAATGAAAATAGAGTGCTAGTTTTTTTTTTTTTTTTTTTTTTTGAGACGGAGTTTCACTCATGTTACCCAGGCTAGAGTGCAATGGCGCGATCTCGGCTCACCGCAACCTCCGCCTCCTGGGTTCAGGCAATTATCCTACCTCAGCCTCCTGAGTAGCTGGGATTACAGGCACGTGCCACCATGCCCAGCTAATTTTTTGTATTTTTAGTAGAGATGGGGTTTCACCATGTTGACCAGGATGGTCTCGATCTCTTGACCTCGAGATCCACCCGCCTCGGCCCCCCAAAGTGCTGGGATTACAGGCTTGAGCCACCGCGCCCGGCCTAGAGTGCTAGTTTTAATTGCTATGAACATAATGTGATATCAGCCGCCTCCTTTGAGTCATTTACTGAGGACACATTCCAATAATAAGAAAAATATAAAACATATACACAGGTTGTTCTTTGTAGCATTATTTATAATAGCAAAATACCGTAATCATCCTGCATGCTATAAAGAAAAGATTGAATAAAGTATAGTGTATTCACAGATGGCACAATATACTGCTGTAAAAAAGATTTAAGGATGATCTTTATGAACTTACATGGAGTGATTTTGAAATCCTGAGACTATGTCAAGGAAAACAAGCTACATGCTTAAGAATACATTTAAGGTAATAGGTTTTATATTAAGAAAAGGGGGAATAAGAATATACATATATACATCACATATATACAGATGATTCATTTGCTTATTTTTGCAAAGAGATCTGCAGGAAGAATAACCCAGAAATGAAACTGATTACCTTCAGGAGATGGGTGGAAACAGGAGAGAAGGGACAGGGAAAGAGATGGGACATCTGAGTATATCATTTTATATGCTGGAGTTTGAACTGTGTTAATGTTTAATTTTTAACATGAAAGTCAGCTGGAGAATTTATGGGAGATAAAAAACCTAAAATTCAATCCTAATATAAATAAATGAATCTATATAATAAATAGATAATAAAACCACTCAGAAGAGAATAAAACAAATTAATCCAAATAATTTTTGAACTCACTAACTGAACACTGTCAGTGCAAAATACCCTAAGGTTAAAAAGAATCACAAAACTACCTTAAGGATAAAAAGAATTACAAAAAAAGGTAAACATTACAGAATACATTCACTGTTGATAGTGGTATTTATGTAGTAATTCTGAAACTACTTTTGCATATTACAGTATTCTGCAAATGTATAAATATTTTGAAATATATTGATGTTATAAGTAACCAGGGCTCTCAAGGAGATACGAATATGAAATGAAGAAAAAAAGAACCTATATTGTTAAATTAGAATTACAGAAATCAGTAGCAAATCTTCATATGTATACAAATATATACACATACACTTCTTTTTTTTTTTTTTTTGAGACGGAGTTTCGCTCTTGTTAACCAGGCTGGAGTGCAATGGCGCGATCTCGGCTCACCGCAACCCCCGCCTCCTGGGTTCAGGCAATTCTCCTGCCTCAACCTCCTGAGTAGCTGGGATTACAGGCAGGCGCCACCATGCCTAGCTAATTTTTTGTAGTTTTAGTAGAGACGGGGTTTCACCGTGTTGACCAGGATGGTCTCGATCTCTTGACCTCGTGATCCACCCGCCTCGGGCTCCCAAAGTGCTGGGATTACAGGCGTAAGCCACCGCGCCCGGCCTACACATATACTTAAAAATATTCACTTAAAAAGGCCTAGAAGCAAAAGGTATTCATGTAGCATTGAAGACATCTTGTGCCCAGATCACAGTTTGTCAATGCCGTTACCCACCAAAAGGAACCAAGGAGCTCTTTAGGATAATGGCTGATTCTGGGACTGAGGCAGGTAAAGTGAAAGGTACTCATAGAACATCTTACTGTGCCAGAAACTGTGAAAGTACAAAAAAAAAACAAAAAACAAACCAACCAAAAAAACTGCTGGGGTTATGGCAAAGGGTCAGAGAAACAGCTCGATGAGGTTCCCACTGACTGAATCTGGGTTAATTTGAGGAGTAAAGGAAATCATGACCAAAATCAATAATGTAATGATTTTTAAAAATCCATATGGATAAAAACAAATGGGGTACAGAGATAGGGAAAGGACAGCTCTTCTTTATAATATAATATCCACAAATAAATAAAGAAGAAATTTTACAAACAGAAAATCATACTTTTTGTTTTTTGAGACTGAGTCTCATCCTATCGCCAAGGCTGGTGTGCAGTGGGGCAACCTTTCTGCCTCCCGGATTCAAGCAGTTCTCCTGCCTCAGCCTCCTGCATAGCTGGGATTACAGCCATGTACCACCAAGCCTGACTAATTTTTGTATTTTTAGCAGAGATGTAGCTTCATCATATTGCCTGGTCTGGCCTTGAACTTCTGAGCTCAAGTGATCCACTCTCCTGGGCCTTCCAAAGTGCTGGGATTAAAGGCATGAGCCACCGTGCCCAGCCCTGAAGAATCACTATTTTTAAGCTACCAATGTAAGAGCTGGTTCAAGCAAGGCTCAAATGATACTACAGCCACTGAGTGAATGATTGCTGGAAAACAGAACTGTCAGCATCTCAAATTCAGCCAGCAGATGACTTACATATAAAGGGGAAAATGAGCCTCTTGCAATGGAGAGATTTGGCAGCTACAGCCTTAACCAATTGACTAAATTTCATATCACCAAGGATGATACAAACTGATTATCATGCACTGATGTGATGCACTAAGAAAGATGTCATCCAGGCTCACATCTGTAATCCCAGCACTTTGGGAGGCTGAGGCAGGTGGATCATTTGCGGCTAGAAGTTCCAGATCAGCCTGGCCAACATGGTGAAACCCCATCTCTAAAAAAACAAAACAAACTAACCATGCATGGTGACACATGCCTGTAGTTCTAGCTCCACTTTGGGAGGCTGAGGTGGGAAGGTCGCTTGAACCCAGGAAGCAGGGGTTGCAGTGAGCTGAGATGGCGCCACTGCAATCCAGCCTGGGCAATGACAGATTGTGTCTCAAAAAAAAAAAAAAAAGAAAGAAAGAAAGAAAAAGAAAAAGGAAAAAAAAAAGGAGAAGAAAAGAAAGAGGGGAGGCAAGTTGAGGGGAGGGGAAAAGCCATCCATCTGGTATTCCTGCCAAAAATGTTTAACCGGTATCTAACCACAAGAAAACAATCATGGCTCAATTAAGGAATATTCACAGTCCTGAATTGTTCAGAAATGCCGGTCTCACTAAAAAGAAATAAAAGCTAAACAATTGTTCTAGATTAGAGACTAAGAGACATGACAACTAAGCACGATGCATAACCCCTGGGTTGGGGGGAACCAAAGTAGCTATACAGAACATTACTGAGACAACAGGAACTCTGAATCTAGACTGTGTATTAGATACTAAGCCTCTATCAAAGTTAAATTTTCTGAGTGTGATAATTGTATTGTAGCTATGTAGGAGAATGCTGTTGTTCTTAGGAAATACTGATGTATACAGCATAAAGTGTCATGATTTCTGTAAGAATTTCTCCAGTGGTTCAGAAAATACATTACATCCACATATGTGTGTGTACATACAAAGAAATAAAGCAAATGTGGCAGAATGTTAACAACTGGTCTGAATTAAAATGTATATGAGCATCCACTACACTATTCTTGCCCCTTTTCTGCAGGTTTGAAATTTCCAAAATACAAAATTTAGAGAAAAGTACACTTTTAAAAAAAGGCAAATAAAGAATAAATAGAACAAATCCAACATTATTTTACTCTTTGATTAGTATAAAGTTTTCAAACTAGAGAATGACTAGTCCTAAAACTTTTCTAAACCATCCCCTGACTGGGGCTAGGCTTGGCAAATAACTCAGTGTACACGGCCTACCCTTCCTGACAGTTTCGTGTAGATGATGTTGAGTTACCGCGAGTGGCCCCAGACTTGAAATACCCGGGAAAAGCTGTCAGCACACCGCCCTGCTGTGCACGATTGGAACCACTAACGCCTGCATTTCTGAATCCCTGCAAAACTATCTGAAAAGGAGAATAAGGACAGACTTTCTCTGGGCCAAATTGAGACCCCAAAGCAATAACCTCAACCCAACATAAGGTAAGGACAGTTCTTCAGCCTTTCAGAGGAATTCCAAACTTATTTTTTCCATTAATGTAGGAAGAGAAAAGAGGCTTAGCCAAACCTATTAATACAAAGATTAACAGAAAACAAAGTCCCTGAATGAAATGAAATTTCATACTTACCTAATGTGGATCTGGGTATGCTGGCATCCTCTTTGGCAGTCAATGAAGTACCATCATCTATGGAAGGTATCTGCACTGAGCCCTAAAAAACTGGGGGAGTTAGGAAGATGCAGGAACTATGATCACAATGACAGCACTGAGAATATTCTCACAATTTCATATTAAAATTATCAAACTTACACCTCAAATGTAAAAAGGAAACCCATTCTGCATGAATTATCTAAGTCTATAGTTCTTACTTGATCAGTCTGTTCTCCAAGGGGGAGGGCAATGGAGGTAACTTCAGCTCGTTGGTTAGAGATGGGTGCTTGGGACATCATGAAGTCTCTCCCTTCCAAATATTGGCGCAGGGTCTGTAATTCTGCATTTCTTTCCATTGAGGCTTGCACCATCTTCTCTGCAGCAACCTAGTAAGAGGAAATCACAAATAACATTAGAAAGATATTCTAGTAACCCTTCTGCATGGTCATGCCGAGCCAGCGCCTCAGCCTGGTAGCAGGCTGCAGACTCTTAGCTTTGCCCACCGCCTCCCGACCATGGACCCCTGCAAAGTGAAAAAGCTTCGGGCCTTTGTGAAGATGTGTAAGCAGGATCCAAGCATTCTGCACACAGAGGAAATGCACTTCCTGAGGGAGTGGGTGGAGAGTATGGGGGGTATAATACCACCTGCTATTCGGAAAGCTAAATCAGAAGAAAATACCAAGGAAGAAAAACCTGATGGTGAGAAGGTAGAGGAAGACTTAAAGGCAGATGAACCATCAAGTGAGGAAAGTGATCTAGAAATTGATAATGAAGGTGTGATTGAACCAGACACTGACACCCCTCAAGAAATGGGAGATGAAAATGCAGAGTTAACAGAGGAGATGATGGATCAGGCAAACGATAAGAGAGTGGTTGCTATTGAAGCCCTAAATGATGGTGAATTGCAGAAAGCCATTGACTTATTCACAGATGCCATCAAGATGAATCCTCACTTGGCCATTTTGTATGCCAAGAGTGCCCGTGTCTTTGTCAAATTACAGAAGCCAAATACTGCCATCCGAGACTGTGACAGAGCCATTGAAATAAATCCTGATTCAGCTCAGCCTTACAAGTGGCGAAGGAAAGCACACAGACTTCTAGGCCACTGGGAGGAAGCAGCCCATGATCTTGCCCTTGCCTGTAAATTGGATTATGATGAAGATGTGAGTGCAAGGCTGAAAGAAGTTCAGCCTAGGGCACAGAAAATTGCAGAACATCGGAGAAAGTATGAGCAAAAACGTGAAGAGCAAGAGATCAAGGAAAGAATAGAAAGAGTTAAGAAGGCTCAAGAAGAGCATGAGAGAGCCCAGAGGGAGGAAGAAGCCAGACGACAGTCAGGAGCTCAGTATGGCTCTTTTCCAGGTGGCTTTCCTGGGGGAATGCCTGGTGGTTTTCCTGGAGGAATGCCTGGAATGGGAGGGGCATGCCTGGAATGACTGGAATGCCTGCACTCAATGAAATTCTCAGTGATCCAGAGGGTCTTGCAGCCATGCAGGATCCAGAAGTTATGGTGACCTTCCAGGATGTGGCTCAGAGCCCAGCAAATATGTCAAAATACCAGAGCAACCCAAAGGTTATGAATCTTATCAGCAAATTGTCAGCCAAATTTGGAGGTCAAGCATAATGCCCTTCTGATAAATAAAGCCTTTGCTGAAGGAAAAGCAACCTAGATCACCTTATGAATGTCACAATACAAACCAGTGTACCTCTGACCTTCTCATCAAGAGAGCTGGGGTGCTTTGAAGATAATCCCTACTCCTCTCCCCCAAATGCAGCTGAAGCATTTTACAGTGGTTTGCCATTAGGGTATTCATTCAGATATTATTTTCCTACTAGGAATTACAAACTTTAAACACTTTTCCACTTTAAAAATATTTAAAACAAATTTAAAGGGTCTGTTAATTCTTATATTTTTCTTTACTAATCATTTTGGAATTTTTTTTCTTTGAATTATTGGACAGGGAAGATACTTAAATGTATAGAAGATTTTTGCTCTGATTTGAGTGAAATAAAAGTTTATTAGTGCGAGGCAAGCATAACTCATTTGAGGATGAAGTTTGTGTTGGATATGTGGTTCCCGAAGCATTTTGACTTGTCTTTTTAAATGCTTTATCTTTTTCTTTAAAGATTTATTTCAATAAAACTAATTGGGACCACCAATATTTCAGTAGGACCTGGGTAGAGACTGTGTTGTATTGGATCGAGCGTAGAAAGTTAGCACCAAGACAAAAGTATGCCAGATTGCAGGGTCATTTATTATGCCGGCGACCACACAGGACTCACGTCTCTCCAACCTGTGGCCTCAAAAGGAAGGTGCCAAGACTTTTTATACCCGAAAAACTACCTTGGGAGTGGGGGTGAGGAGCAGGGATGGGGATGAAAAGGTTTTGGACATTCCAAGGGCTAGGGGATTCTGTGATTCACCTCCTGGGCGGAGATGAGGGCGGGGGTCTCCGGACATTCCAAGGGCCAGGGGATGCTGTAATTCACCTCCTGGGTGGAGACGAGGGTGGGGGTCTCCAGACATTCCAAGGGCCAGGGGACTTTTGTCATTCTGTTTGTTACTTCAGTGGTTTACAGAAGTCAAGATAAGCATTTGTTTACACACAGATCTTAGTTATCCTGGGCTGCTTATTTTAGTTATTACTAAATAACTAAAGCAAAAGCTAGCAATTCTGGCACAATATCACATTCCCGCCTGTTCTTTTAACATGTATTAAATCTTTAATAGGTTTCCTCTTTTTGACACAAGGGTCCATATTTGGATCTCAGAACCATCAATTTGACCGAATCTATTTCTTCCTGGATAAATTTGAGGAGCATGTTTAAAAGGCATGGTCCAAATATTAACCCTAGGACCATTAGCACCAAGGGCCCTGCTAATCCAGTGAGCAGGAATGTTAGCCAGGGGTTTAGGGGAGTGTCTCGGGTGAAAGAAATGAAAGAGCTTCTGTTTGCAGTATATCCTGTTATAGTGGAGATAGTCTTACAACCCCAATGGGGGCAAAAGAATTCATTTAAGTCTCCACAGTTCCATCTTTTTTGGTGGAGTGGATCCTGGGCACAGATATAACCCCATGGTCTGGAGTTGTCGCTCTGCCCCTAAACTGCCACACCCAGCTATACCTCCACTTGTCCTGAAATTTAAGTGGGGGCCCAGGAGGGCACAGAGGTCCAGGGAGAAGGTAATGGGGGTCTCCAGAGTGTACTCCAGGGTTAGGTTGCTAGGGTGGATCCCTTTCCGGTTAAGGAACTAACATATGCTCCAGTGGAGCCCTTGGTGATGACCCATCGATAGTAGGTGGGTGACAAGGAGGGTCCCTTTCGGAGGGTGGTTGCAGGAATCAGGGAGATTAGGATGATGACTGAGAAAGGCGCAATAGTCTTAGTTTTAGGGGGTCCATTGAGGATGGAACCACTTCCCATCCTGCATCTAGGGGATGTGTGAGTGGTGAATCCAGGCAGTCAGTCCGTCCACCTTGATTGCCGTGGGGGTGACCAGGATTACAGTGTAGCGTCCTTTCCAGCGAGGAGTTAGGCCAGAGGTAGTGACTCTCTTCACCAGGACTTCGTCCCCTGGCTGGAAGGGGTGTACCGGCTGGTCAGTGAAATCCACTGGGGCAGGTCGAGTTCCCCTGATGAGCGAGTGCACCTGGGACTGAACAGACTGGAGTGCCTGCAAGGACTTAAGGAGTGTATGGTTATGGACTCCAGCATGTATGGCGTCCGCAAGTCTGGGGAGTAAGGGAGGGGGCCTTTTAAACATAATTTCAAAAGGAGTAAAGCTTTTTTATAGGCAGTACATCGGGTACAGAGGAGAACAAAAGGAAGCAGGTTGACCCAGTTTTCACCGGTTTCTAGAATTAATTTTGTCAAAGTTTCCTTTATGGTCCGGTTCATCCTTTTCAACCTGCCCTGAACTCTGGGGGCGATAGGCACAGTGCAGTTTCCAGGATATGTCCAGGGCCTTGGCCAGGCCCTGTGAAACCTGAGCTGTAAATGCAGGGCCATTATCTGATCCCAGTGTCGGGGCAAGCTGAACCGAGGAACCAGGTCCTGTAACAATTTTTTCGCTACTACCAGTGCGGTTTCTGACCTAGTAGGAAAAGCCTCGACCCATCCAGAGAAAGTGTCTACAAACACAAGGACGTACTTACAGCCGCACGCTGGGGGCTTTATTTCAGTAAAATCTACCTCCCAGTGTTCCCCTGGGCTAGTACCCCTGAGTCTTATCCCTGCCTGACTAGGCCTACTGCCTCCTGGATTTACCCTGGCACATACTTCACAACGAGTAGTAGTTTCTTTAACAATTTCATGCAAGTGTGGAATGTAGTATCTGGCCCTCAGCAGCTCAGTGAGTTTTGTTTGTCCTAAGTGAGTGGCCTGGTGTGTGTCCTTAACTAGAGCCTATCCTAGAGCCTCGGGGAGCACAATCCTTGTGTCCAGTAGAATCCACCGTCCTGTGGAATCTTGTCGTCCCCCCTGTTCTTTAGCAAAGTTTTCTTCCTTAGGCAAATACTTGGGGTAGGAGGCAGGGTTGGGGTCGGCAGAGTCACAAGAAGAGTCAGAGGTTTTACTGGCCCCATGGCTGTCGGTCTGGCCTGAAGGTCAGCTGCCCTATTTCCCCTTGCCTCTGGTGAATCTCCCTTCTGGTGTCCTTTGCAGTGTATTAATGCCACTGCCTTGGGCTTCCATATAGCTTCTAGTAGAGCTCGGATTTCCTCTTTGTTTTTGATGATTTTTCCCTTTGAGGTAGGCAACCCTCTTTCTTTATAAATGGCACCATGCACATGGGCCGTAGCAAAAGCATACCGGCTATCCGTGTAGATGTTAACAATTTTTCCCTCCGCCCAGTCCAAGGCCTTTATTAAAGCTATAAGTTCAGCCTTTTGGGCTGAGGTTCCATGTGGAAGAGCCTGGGCCCAGATAACCCGCTCTAGAGTGACCACAGCTGCCCCAGCGTACCTGACTCCGTCGACCATGAAACTGCTGCCATCTGTATACAGTACCTCCTCTGGGTTCTGCAGGGGGACGTCAGTGAGATCTGGTCACGCAGCGTGGAGGACATCTATTGTCTGTTGGCAGTCATGTATGGGCTTCTCTGGCTCGCTGTCAGGTAGCAGTGTGGCAGGGTTTAAAACTGTGGTTTTTGAAAATTTTATGTGGGGCTGGTCCAAAAGTAAGGCCTGGTATTGGACTATGCGGGAATTAGACATCCATTTTCCCGGAGCTCCACGGAGTAGCAACTCCACCGCGTGGGGTGCCACTAAGTTCAATTCCTGCCCCAAAGTCAGTTTGTCCGCCTCTTTGACTAACAGGGCCGTAGCTGCCACCAACCTCAAACAAGCTGGCCACCGAGAGGCTACGGGATCAAGTCTTTTTGAAA